TCTTCTTCTTCTTCTTCTTCTTCTTCTTCTTCTTCTTCTTCTTCTTCGCAACCTCAAATGGTCAGAAGGAAGAGACAAAGAAAAACTAGCAAGGAGTCTTTCTAAATCCAGGTATGAAGGAGTGGCTTTTTGCCCAAGTGTATAAGGCTAAAGTAATTATATGAAGCTCAGAAATCAGTGGGCATTTGCTTTTCAAGTTGTACTTCTAAGGGACAAACCAGAAAGGTCTGAGCTCTGGGGCAGCCAAGAAAGAGGAAGAGGAGAAAGAAGAGAGAGGAGAAGGAAGAGGAAGGAGAAGCTTGACAAGGGGAAGAAGGAAGAGGCGAGAAAAGGAAGTGGAAGTCACAGGGTTAGAAATACTGGTTATCCATTTTTAAGGAATACTGTAAGAATATGTGATTTTTCTCAAAGTGGGATCTTTCTCGACCAATGCAAATTTCCTCTCTATAACTTAGTAGATAAGTTTTAGGGAGTTGTCTAATGAAAGTCCTAGGATCATAAATGTAGAGCTGGAAGGGAATTTAGAGGTCACTTAGTCCAAACCCCTTATTTTATGGACCAGAAAAGTGAGGCTCATAAAGGTTAGGTGACTTGCTCTGGGTTATATTGACAGTGAATAGCAGAACCAAGATTTGAACCGTTGATATTATTATTATTACTTTTATTATATTCAAGCTCAACAATTTATTCATGGTATCCGCTTTCCTTCCCTAATTATTAATAAGAAAGAAGAGGGGAGGGGAGGTACTTAAAAAAAATACCTCCCTATCTGTAAATTCTATGTAAAAGTCTTATGATGAAATAGGTGGGGATAGGTGGGGAGGAAGCACCCACGATCTTCGTGTCTCTCTCTCTTTCTTTTTTTTTTTCACCCAAACCTTACTCAGGCTGCCAACTAGTGATGAGGGAGGGGAGTCATAGTGGAGAGGAGAGAAACAAATCATTTCCCTGATACCGCGTTTTTAAGAGAGTGAGAAGCATGGGAGGGAAACCTCCGTGCTCACATACTTGGGTAGTCTCAGGGGTGGGGAAGAAAAGGAGAAAGGAGAATGGACTGCCACACCCCTTCACAAGCTGCAGTTCACTCTCTTGCAGGGGTCACTGTTTTAATATCTGTCCATCGCTTCCCGCCATCCCCATCCTAGTCCTCAATCCTTCCAACTGTTAAATGGTAGTCCTTTACTTTCAAAGTGGGTGATGTAATGTATATTCTTCTCTGTGTGCCCTGCCAGTCAGTCCCCAGAGGCGGAGGGAATCCGGAGACCCCTAGAGATGTAATGATACAGGGTTTCCAGAAATAGGGGACTTCATCTTTACGTTGGGAACAAGAAAGACTCCTGCAAAGCACGCCCCACTTTCGCACTCTGCCGTGCCCTATTAGGCTCGGTTTCTGAATGAGGAAGACACAGATACCGGCGCTAAAGTGCCAAGTGGTGAAATCTGTAACTGGAACTGTGATCGAAAGCCAGGATCCGAAAGACTACTTCTGGGGCAAGCCAAAGGGCGTGATTGGGGACAGTGAAGGGAGAGAGGGTGGGGTGGACACGGGGCGTGGGTTGAGGTGGGAGGTTACTAGGGCTGCTTACTAGAGGAAAGAACCTGCCTGCGTGAGCCAGAAGAAAGGGGGTCCAGAAGCCACTCCAAGCAGTGGTGGGGGCGCAGCAACAGAGAGCCCGACGGAGTTAGGACCGCTCGGAGCGTCCAGGTCTCGAGGTAGTATACGGTTTGCAATCCTTCTACTTACTGCCAGTTGCAGAAGATTTTGCTTTTAAGTGAAACGTACATGCCACCCATCTGTGGGCTGCTGCTTCTCTGAGCTTGCTTTTTCCCCCTCCCTCTTTCCTCCACCTCCTTCCCTCTTCCTGTCTTCTTATCTCACTCTCCTTTTAATTTGTGTGCTCCCCTAAGTTTGTGAGAGAGCTCCCTGGCCACACTGAGGCAGGGTCCGTCCGGGCACGGCACCGGGGGCGGGGGAGGCTGCGCTGGGGGAATAGTAATCCAGAAGGATCTCGGGCCATGTATATTTCATCAAATGGACTTTCCAAGTGTCTCGTCTGCCAGCCATCAACGCTATGTGCCGTGACATTTCTGACTTGAGTAGAGGAATGCGCGAAGGGAGCCCTGGCGAAATTGGTACGAGAGGATCTCCTTGGCGCCGGTGCTAATTGTCCTGATTTATGTCTCTTCTGAGTGCGCTCAACGTCTTCATCGGAGATAAAATGAGAGCGGTGCCAAGCGGGGCAGAGCCGCCTGAGTGCTGCATCTGATCGCGGGGAGTCCGGGCATCCAGGCGTCCTGCAGCTCCTCAGACCAAATAAACGAGCGAACACAAAAAAGGGAACGAAAGAAAGAAAGGAGGGGGTGGAAATAAAGAAAACACAGCAGCCACCAGGAAAGCCTCAGTAAAAGTTTAAGGCGAAAAGTGGGAGAGGTGGCGCGGGGAGTCGCAGAGGAGAGTGATCAACTGGGGAGACTGAGGTTGCCTGCAATTTTATTCTTATTATCATCACATTTTTGGAGGGAGAGGCACCTTTCCTTCTCTCTCCCTCTACCTCTTCTCCCACCCCTTTTCCCCCTCTCCACTCCCCCTATCTACCTGTCAAAGTCACTGATCTTTTTGCATTTCGGAAGAGGAGGACACGGAGGAGGAATTCCCTCTCTGGGGTCTCAGCTTTGAAAGGGCCAACTCTTCCCGGGAGCCAGTTCTTTTCCCTCGGCACCGGGCGAAGGTAATTAAGCAGCGGGGCGTTGATTGCTGTTGTGGGGGCTCTCTTTCCACCATCCCCTTCCCAGCCCCCAGCCCCACGCCCTCTCCTCTGGACTTCTGGAGGCAAGTGGAGCAACTCTGCGGTGGTGGGGGCGAGCTCGACGGCTCCTACTGGACCCCCGTACCCCTCCTAATCAGTCCGCCCTTGTGCCGGGTCCCCGCGCTCTCCCGAGGAGGCACGGCGGGGGAGAGCAGCCTCCGCCCGGCAGCCGCGGGCTCCGATGCTGCCGCTGCCGCCACTGGACGCGGACGAGGCTGGGAAGGTCCGCGGCAAGGAGCCGTCTGCTCGCCTCCCGCCAACTGTAACAAGGGCAAATGGTCCACACGGTAAGTGCAGCCTCCCTCCCTCCCTCTTTCAGCGACCCGCCCGTTTTCTTCTTTTTCTTCTTTTTTTTTTTTTTAACCCTCCCTTAACCCCGCTCCCCACAGCCCATGGCCCCCAACCAGAAGAACTGTAATTCAATCCACAGGCAGGAGGGTTGGCTCCGGGGAATGGGAAAGGAACTTTGTAGAGCACCTTTAGAAGACAAGCCTGTGTGGTATGCATATGTGCACCAACACACACGCACACACCACGTATGTGCATGTGTCTAGGTGCGCCCATCAGGTAGCATGTAAGCACCGGTCTCACCCACCTCTCGATCAGGATCTGCGCCTTGTACCTAAAAAGCCGGACCGATATTAACATGTCACTAAGGAACATACCTGACCACACACCAGGGGATCTGTCAGGTTAATTTTGACAGTTGACTTTGCCTTGGCGGGGGGACCCAAAAAAGTCGCCCCCTTCCCCCCCCATTAGTCCTTTTGCAGCCTGGGTGGTGCTGGAGACTAAGGGGAGAGGCTTTTGAAGTCTCTTTCTTTTAATCCCTTTTATTGGTGCAAGATTAAAGCTTTACTATCCCATGCCCTGCAGCTGGGAGAGAAAGAAGGATTGAAAGAGGAATAGACTTCGGAATGCAGGCTGAAATATTTTCTCAGATTATTTACCACCATTAAATGAATCAGTCGACGGATTCGGCTGGGGAAATTGAATTGCTCACAATGCTAGTCTCCCCTGTATGGATCTGTGGATATCTATATATAATACAAATAATACCGAATATTATTGGGCTCAAAATAACCAATTAAGTGATTCATACGGGGAAAAGTTGGATAAAAAAAGAAACTGCGCCCTCTGCTGTTCCTTTGGTCACCGCAACCGGGGACCAATTTTTCAGGATCCACTTAGGAGTACCTTGTCCTTGCACTGGGGAAGATGACTAGCCGCTATTCTAAAGGACCTTTTGTTTGCAAGAACTGGAGTTGGCTCTCCTGTCATTGCATCATGTAAAAAGGAGGATTTTTTGGGGGGAGGGGGGAGTATTTTTTTTTCCCGTTGCCTTTTTAATGGTTTTCCTCCTCCGGTGACTAATTAATCTAGGACCGCATATATTGGCATGTCATTGAAACTCCTTACAGTGCCTTGAATGTGATTCCACAACCTCCCCTTCCCCCACCACCATCTAATTAAATTCAGGCTCATAAATAAAACCTCAAGTCATCTTCATCAACTTCTTGGAATGAACATTAGCAACCTGGCTTCTCCCCTCTCCTCCCCCCAAGCCAAGGACGTCAAACCCATCAGGGTTAGTGAAGTAACACATCTTGTGGCACAAGGATGGTAGGGAGCCAGAACTTTAAAAGGAGAGAATAGAAGTGATTTGACAAAGAGGGTAACTAGCACAAAATATGTTAGAAGATGAGAACAGAGTCCCCTCACCAAATAAAGGAGCCGTCCTGTATCATAACAGAGTGTCAGTCTTTGGAAGAGAAAAGACTGAGAATTCCAATAAGCATATGGTGAAGTTGGCACCTCACTTGTTCTGGAAATAAAGCCCAGTTTTAGGATGGAAATTACTAAAAGTACCCTCCCCCTATACACAGTTGAGAAATTAAAACTTTAGCCTGGGAAAATGAACAAAAGCCAAATCTTTCTTACAGCACATTTACTAGTTAAACTCCAGAAGAATGAATGGCCCAAGCACCAAAGTTTATTGGAAATAGGTAGTCTTTACTGAGCATCTTTACTCTTGGGTGTGTTAGCTAACCTATTATCAATTTTGGACTCAGTAAATTGACTTGAGGACTTTCCCCCTACCCATTCTACCAAGGTAAAGGAAAAAGGCTACCTCTAAAAACATGTGTTGCAGATAAGGTTGTTGACTGTTTTTGTTTTGTTTTGATTGTTTAAACTTTACCTTGCCTTAAAGAGAGAATCCTGAGGCTTTAACCTCATTCTTTTTTCTTTTTTATCAATTTCAAAATAAAAAAGAACACGCCGAGGCCTTCACATTTGAACTCTTTGTCAATACATTTCTTTCTATTGTAGCATGGAGCCTATCTGGAATTTTTTTCAGATACCATGAAGACTGATATTTTCTACCACTGAATGGCAATATCACAATACCATGGATTCCATACCTTGGTTACTAGTCCAGTGATCTTTCCCCTTCTGAAATTTAAGAGTAGGGGAATTTGATAACAACAATAACACATTTTCATTTCTTTAAGTCCCAAACTGTTTAATATTGAATTTTTAGTTTGGGCAACTTTTATGAGGATCACTTATCCCTGTTTTCTGAGGGTGGAGGATAAAGTGTGATATTGTTCCTAGCAGTTGTGTAAAATTTATGCAAATATTTATTTAGATAACTTTTTTTATACTGAATCATACTGGGGATAGCATTCATATTTATAAAGTCTTGTAAGATTTTATGTGTCAGAAGATTTTGGAAGAGGTACTGACAGTTACAAAAGCATGTCTGGAAGGAAAATAATTTTTTAGACCACTCGTATGGTGAATTTGAAGTGTGCTTGTGTATATGAGGAATAACATCTCACAAGATAGGCAAAAATCTGGTATAATTTTTAAAATGGCATGCTCTATCAGCTCCTGAGCTCTGGGTTTAAACTTTAGGTGCTTATTTCCATAAACTTCCATTTTTGGAGAATGTGGATCTTCCTGGTTTGACTAGTTGGAAAAGAGGAGAATTTAGTATTTGGCTGAACAGACAGAGAAGTTCATCGGGAATAAGAGCCAGCTGTTCTGCTAGGTACTTTGGTTCTGAAATAACATTAGGAATTTGAAAAATCAAGCAGATTGTCTAACCCTAAAGCCTAAAATATACATCCCACAAGGTGTATGCTGTCCAGTTTCAATGGAAGATTTTCTCCTGAGAAAAATGGGGACTTTCTTCAAATACTTTGTGTTCAGGGTCTCAAAGGCTAGGTGAATGATTATTATATCCCATGATATAAATACTATATACTAGTGACACCATAAAGCAATCCAGTTCTTTATATTTTAACCAGAAGAATTAGGAAAATTGCTAATGCCAATCTCTATCCAATGGAGATACTTAGAAATGCTGACTTTACTACAAAAAGATTCCTAAATGTGAAGTATGATTCAAAGTATCTTTTTTAAAAAGACAACATGGGGAGTGAATTATATTGTTCCTGTTTGGGAAGTTGTCAACTGATAGGTAGTTGAAACTGTCTGCACCTTTGTCAATTGAGACACCCCTAATGGCATATGATTGCAAACCACAGTATTCTATTTCTCTCCATTTCAGGGTACATATATTTATCAAATTAATGTTGATGGGGAACGGATTCATAGTCTCCAATTCCAGATGCATGCTGAATTCAAAATCCAGGGTCAATAGGACAAGTATCAGCCCAGCAACACCAGCAAGTGGGTGATTCTATCCGAAATGGAATGCTGGAAACCATCTAAAATAGTTAGACCATGATGTTTGGCCATAAGACATCAAAAAGAGTTGGCAGTTTATTTTGGTAGAATCGTCTAGCAATCGTTTTAACTCTAATTGTTTGCAGCTAGAAGTTTGGAGCTTCTATTTGGGGCAAAAAAAAGGGCCTTTGGAACACTGTGGAAGGCCAATCCATGTTGGAAGTGAGTCAGCTACAGGAAACTGAAAAAACAAAAAAGATGTACAGTGTGCATGCTGTTTTTTATAATGCATTCCATCCCTGATCAATAACATCTGTCAAGTGGAGATGTATGAAAAAACATATATATTTGTATATTTTGGCCACATACTTACACAATAATCTGTGTGTTACCAACCACTTATAGCTTGGTAGCAGGAGTTTCTGCTCAAAATAATTCTTCAGTGTTTGGGGTTGCTGACAGATCCAAAGACATTACTTAATTACTCTGAGTTTTTAAGGGCTGCTGAGTAAAGAAATGGACATCATGAGATTTGACCCTGTCAGAGAGCTCGTCTGCTGTTGCATATATTTAGAGGATATGGCACGTGAGAAAATTCAAAGCCTGAATTACTTTGTAATTAATTCAGCTACAGCCCAGAAGGGATAGCCCCAGTGTGCTAAATGCCAAAATATGTCATTGAATATCCCTCTTTGCATAATCAGGCTGCCTAGCCCTTTGTGGCTATGACTTAGACTTTTAAAGCCCATCTAAAATTTGAGTTTAACTCAGTAGAATATATGGTCAGATGGAGCCCAAGGCTGTAAAAGATGCAAAATCTAGATACTAGAGGTGATCTAGTTATATTCTTTATGGAAATTTATTTTTTTCCTTTTATTAATTTATATTTTTAATAGTAAATGCCTAGATTTGACAAAGTTCTTTTCTCCCCTACAGTTTAACATTTAAACATTTTTGAAATTTGGAGATTTAATTTCTTTTTAATTATTAGTTAATATGATTTAAAAAAAAAGTCTATGCAATGTTGAGAAACAGGGGATTCTCCAAGCCTAGAGCACATAATGAGTGACACTACAAAGATTAAGAATAATAAAGACAAATAGCATAATTGGGTTATGAGAGCCTTGATGACCCCCTCCCTGTGCTCTTTAATACACTTTGGTCAATGTCTTTCTCTGTGTCAACAGGAGCTCATTAAGTGGTGATTCTGCAGACTAACTGAGCTATGCTGTATTAGCTCTTGCCAAAGCCTGACATTTTTAATACATTAATAATATGTCTGTAATGTAATGGAAAACTATTAATCACAACTGGTTATGTGCCAGAAATTTAAGCTATAATTGGCTGCTTCTTGTCAGAGATGTCTATTGCTCAGTCCTACATTTGCCTAATATTCAAATATCTTGCACTCCTCTGCATTTTTTCCCTTGTCAGGGCACTATGGTAGATCAATGTGATAGTATATAATTCTATGTAGTGACCATCATTGTAACTGGAAGTCCTTTGAGTCAGAATTTCTTATACTGACAGGATTGTTGTGTCATGAGACATTAACAGGTGCAAGCCCTTGTCCTACCTCCATGCTCATACTGTACATATAAATATGTACATTTACTTCCTATTTTGGCAAGTTGGATATTGGGAACCCTATTTGGTTTGCTTGAACTAAGCTTAGAAGTTACAGTAAATTGGATGGAAAAATGGAGAAAGGATAGTAAAACCAGTAATCAAAGGGTGGAGTTGCATGAGTTCTTTTTGAAAACCAATAAAGAGAACCTTAGGGGTAATTCAAATTTATGCTTAAAAGCTTAGGTTTTGTGTAGTTCATATATAAAACAAACAAACAAACAAATAAAAACCACCATGAGGCTAGCAAAATCAAAATCAAAGCAGCTTATTTCAGGTTCTTCAAGACAGAATCTGCAATTTTCACTAATCAAATTATTCTTGATACATAGATAGTTATATGTTAAATTTAAGAATAGAGGTTAATAGTCTCAGGTCCAGTAGATTTGTCACTGGTGTAGTAATGCTTCTTTTCCTCCCTTTAAAATATTTGCTTATGAGTGTACTTACATAGTAAACATGCTCAATGCACATATCCAGACAATGTTACTTTACATTACTTTTAATACTTTCAGAAATCATTAAATTGTTTAACAAATGCATGTTTCTAGAAATACTAACCTTGAGACTGTTACTTAAAAATGGGAAAAATGTAATAATGATAGCTCAAATCACCACAAACATGGGTCTATATAACTTTTTTAAAAAGTTTATTATTTTTAAAATGTGCTTTATACAAGTTTTACTTTATTAAAAAAAAGACAAACTCAGATCTGTAGTTTATACATGTTTAGACAAACTACTAATTATTTCTTCATGGAAATTCAAATATTCAACACACTTCCTAATAGAAAATATTGCAAATTGCAGCTGTATGATAACATTTTATGAATGGAATATAATGAAAATTGCACTTGCATCCATAAAGCAATTATTATAAATTACTTTGCTATGGAAACACTATTCAACCATCTGTTGGCATTTTGTAGTGTCTGTAGCTTAGTTCATCTTAAGATGGTGCATTATTTAAGTATGGTAAGCCCCCTTATAAGATTGTTTTGAAGACAATTAACTTGCATGCTTAAAGAGTGTTGTGTGGATTTAGAGGTCTATGATGAAGTTCATAAAAACTGCATTTTTGTCACTTTTGGATCATGGAGAATAAAAAAAAATCATTTTTCTGGGTGTAAAGTTACACATAGACAATGAATCAATTGATTATCTTACCTACTTTATCATTTTTAGTTGCTTCTGGATTTAAAATGTAAATTTTTGTTTAGTTTTAACAACTAGCTAGCTCAAAAGAGAAAAGTTTAAGTTGAATTTAGTGATACCTTTGGTCCAAATGTGGATTGTCAGTAATAGCCATTAATTAAACCCACTGTGAAATGGTAGACTTCTATTTTATTTTAGAATAAATGTCACATCATTCTGCTTCATGGTCTGTTAACTTGCCCTCTTCTATTTTTATGTGTATGTTTTAAAACAGGCATTTTACCACAGAGATCAAAGTTTTAATACAGGGCATAATGTTGGCCTTTGGGACAAATTCTTCACTCCTGTTACAGAAAAGACAGAAATAACATGTAAAAAGAGCTAAGAAAATGGAAAATCCAAAAAGGGAAAAATTTGCTTTTCCAGATTTATTTTTAAATAATTTCTAGTGAACCAAGTCTCATCTCTATCACTAAATACGGCTAAACAAAAGATTCTAAGTTCTTCCAATACTAATGAGCAAGTCCAAAGGGACGGCTTAGTGCCAACAATACTGTTTTTCATTCAAGCTAACAAAAGCTGAGAAATGTACAAGGAATTTGGATATCTTTAGGGTCCCTCTGCCAAGAGACAAAAGCCATACGCGTAGTTGTCATTTCTTTGTCATTGTAATAAAAGAGCTCATTTCTCCCCATTGTTCTCTTTCAGGATTTTCCAGCCCTGCCAGCTATATGAGAAATGTTTAAATCTGGCTGTTTGCTCTCCATTTAGTCTAGATAGAAATATAATTTTTGAACCAAAAAAAAAAAACCCTGTAAGTCACCTGCAGCAGCACACATGTGCCTTTGTTATGGAAGAGTTAAATGCTTCATATCAGAATGCTTCCCAATGTGAATGATTTCTGTGGTTTGTTCATTTTAGAAAAGCAGCCACAGTAAAGGTTATCCATATTACACCAATTTGCTTTATATTACATCAAACCTTCCAAATGTCAACATATCAGACATTTGGTAATGCATTGATTCTGGGACAATAACTCTTACTCTTATTGTTTCTAAAAGGGTGTTGGTGCCAGAAGAAAAGAATGATTGATGGGAAACAGACACCGGGCTGTAGACACTCATCTTTTTGCTTCAGATACTGATTTATCAGCGAGTCTGGGCATCCCTTGTGAGCCGTGAACATAGAGGAGGATCACTCAGGGTTATCGGCAGTACAACTGAAGACCTACCACTTTGCTAAATTATCATCCCTTCTTGGACATCTGTTACAACGACAACAAGAAAAAAAATCAAAACAAAGCAAAGCAAGACCCAGCAATCCTAGAGATAAGCTCTGGGACAAAGAAAAATCTTAGGGCTGATTTTAAACACTGTCACACGGATATGATAAACTTCCACCAAAGTCCTCAACTTACACAACAAAGCACCATATTCTAAGACATCACCGCTCTTGGCTTTGGAACCTGCTTTGGGGCCTCTTTGTGTGCGTATATTTAAAAAAAATACAGACCAATATACATAAAGAAAGCAAAGTTATAGTCCACCAACTTTGTTTCAGTCCTGGTGAAGTTTTCAAAGGATTTAGAGATGTATTTGTCAAGATTCTTATCAATCCATGCCCTTTGGGTTACTGTGTCCTCAGTGATGCAACATTACCCATCAGTGTGGGGACATTATGATGTGTGTAAGACTCAGATTTACACAGAAGAAGGGAAAATTTGGGATTACATGGCTTGCCAGCCAGAAGCTACTGACATGACAAAATATCTGAAAGTGAAATTGGATCCTCCTGACATTACCTGTGGAGACCCGCCCGAGACATTCTGTGCAATGGTGAGACAAACTTTTTAAAAAAAAGTATTTCCAAGTGAAGTGGGGGCATGACCTATATACCGAAATGCTCAGAGTGTGAAGACATAAAATGAATGGAATATTCCGGTAGCAGATTTGTTTTTACAGGATAGCTTCATTCTACAAGGAGGTTTCCTGTATTTTGAATGATAATTTGCACAGTGTGATGGATGCACTGAGCCTTATAGCTGGTTTCCCTGGAAAACAGAGGTTTTTGCAATAGGAAGCATACTGTAAGAAAGTCTAAATGAATGCCCAGTTTTTGACCTGGGTGTTCTGAATGGGACTTGGTCCTATTTGGTTAGTTAAATGTAAAAGCCTGGAGGTGGTGGGGTGGTGATGATGAAAATACCTTCTGACATAATAATGGCAGTAACAATAATAATAATATGATCATATAATAACAGTTATCATTATAATAATTATTTATGATTATTATTATTAGTTATATTATACTAGGGCAAAGATGGGTAGTGAGTGACTTTGAGACTTGGATTAGACCCTAAACACAGGTGAGTTCTCCCCCCATCCTGGGTTTGTCTGTATCAGGAAACAGGTATAATTTGGTGTAGTTGGCTAAGTGATCCCTCTTTCTCCTCCCCAAGAGCTACAGAATAGAAGGATAGCAGAGTAATAGAACTAGCATGTCAGGAAAATGCTTCTTCAGAAAGGACATTCCTATTGAATATATAGTTATTTTCTGGAAGCCAGCAACTCCAGGGCACAAAAATGCAGATATGGGCTGGATTTGGCAAACAAAATGATCAAAGGAATTGTTCTCTTGGAGCTTCTGACTCTTCTTAGGGGTGGTGGTAGGGTAAGAGGACAGTATGACATAGTAGACAGAGCATTGGATGGGGAAGTCAAGAGACTTGGATTCTAGTCTTGGTTGGGATACTGAATAGTGGGGTGACCATGGTAAATCATTTAATTTTTCTATATTTCCATTTCCTTATCTGTAAAATAGGGAGATTCACAGAATTTCAGAGTTGGGAGGGACACTAACGACCATCAATTCCTACTTATACCTATATAAACAATTCCTTCTGCACCATCTTTTATAAGTTAAGACCTCCAGTAAATCTTAAACCTACTACCTCCTGGGGCAGCTCATTTTACTTTTAGATGGCTCTAATTATTAATCAATCAACCAATTATAATTTATTAAGCACCTATCATGTTCTAGGCACAGTTCTGGGAATACAAAACCAAAAATGAAATAGTCTTTGCCCTCAAGGAGCTTTTATTCTATAAAGAAAGACACATTGAGAAGAAATTTTCCTCTTTGTAGCTTCCACTTATTGATTCTGAATCTGCTTTCTGGGCCCAAGTAGAATAAGTTATAAACCCATTACCATAGGACAGCCTTTTAAATACTTGACTGTATGTGTTACTGACTTCTCTTCTCCAGGTTAAATATATTCATTTCTTTCAACTGATCATCACCTTTTGAGGCCCTTCCCAACTTGGTTGCCCTTCTTCTACATATTCTCCAGTTTATCAATGCTCTTCTTAAATCAGTTCAACTAGATGGTCTTTGGCCCCTGCCAGTTTGAAATTTTATGATTTTGTGGGTAAAGTTTTTTTTAAAAAATGAGGCATTAGAGTACCTATATTGGAATTTTTTCATAAAAAGGACAGATATGCAAATACATCAAAAAAGTAATAATATGTGGTGTGGTGATAGAAATTAAAGGGATTAGGTAACATTGATTTTTTAAAAAAAATATTATTACTTTGATTTACAGCTGGCCTTTATTTGGTGTAGGAGATGCAATCCCATTTTCCTCCAACATGACGAATATGAGGATGGTGCTTTTTCATACTTTTCTTACCTGACTTTATTGTTTTGAACCTGGCCTGGCATTTTCAGGATACTGGAACTATTAATCAAAGTAACATCTGTTCACCATCCCCAGTGAGTTAAATTAGCATAAGATCATCTTAGACCTAGCATTTCAGAAAAAGGCTTTTTAACAGGAAACAATTTTGAGCAATAAAGAGCATTTTCACCTGAACACTAAGGGCTTGCCATTTTCCAGAAGTGCCTTTGGGGACTGGTTTGAATTATAAGCTGGACCTGATTTTGTGGAGAGTGAGAAAAAGAGGTTGGCTATTAGGTGTCACTATGACTAAAGTGCTTTAAAAGTCTAAATATTTCAGAAAGAGGTCTTGTCTCTCTGGGAAAAGGGTGTGTGCTGAGCAAATAATTTGAAATGTAAAATCAAGAGACTGCCATAGAAGGTGCTTATTTGGAATGAATTACAAATAATTTTCATAAAATATGTAAAGGAGAGCAAGAAGTTTGTAATCTTTATAAAATATTTTTAATTGTTTCTGACAAAAGGGCAGAGGACAGGCTCAAAGCATTATTCTGAATCTAGGGGAAATTGCCTTTCAGGTGCTGTATGCTATAATATCCAATTCATTAAGGTATAAGAAAGATGTCCACTAATGCTTTCTGTGATTCAAATAGCCTTTTCTACATAGTTCTTTATGGCACTTACAATATCATGACTTCTTTGAAACTGTTTAAGAATGTAGACATGAGCAAAGTAAGTTAGAAATAGAGTCTTTCTCGACATGTAATACCAAGCTGCGTGAACCTGGTATAATATGTTCAGTGGGTGGTTTACCTGTGTACATCTTCTATCTTTGGTTACCTCGTCAGTATAGCTCCAATGAAGAAGGCATCATGAGGTAGGGATAAGAACACTGAATTTGGATTCTGGAGGACCTGTTTTCAGGGATTGTTAGATCTGTAATCCTACTAGTTTGTAGGAGTTTACTTATGGACTTGAGAATGATATGTTTTCCCCCTGGATAGAAATTATCTTTTTTTTTTGGACCTATTTTTCCTATCCTGGCCTTCATTGGACTCATTCCCAGTAGTCCACAAGTTCTGACCAAAAAAAATAATAAAATAAAATAAAACTGAACATCAAACTTTAAAATCCTTAAGTGTAAGTGTGGGCTCACTGTTTAGAAACCCTACCACACAGAAGATTTTATAACTACTAGAATCCAGGCCATCACTCAAATGCCTGAGTCTTCTGTGGATTTGAGTTAGTCATTGCACATGACAGTTTTTCAGAGAAGAGCACAGGGTTTATGAGGCATTACCTGTCAATGCTTAATTTGTACTCCTTAATATGCATATTATTGGCATAATGGATTTAATAATCTATCATCTAAATGAATACTTTGGGACTATTTGTATGCACGTTATAGACCAAGTCAGTGGTAATGGCTTAAATATAGGCACACAATTGCTCCTCTGCAATTTTGGCTTTTCCATAAAACTCTACAGCATAAGGATTCCTGACACAAGACCGTAAAACTGTCTCAGGACTCTGCCGGCTCAGGCCTGCTTAGGTGCTCCTTAGCCTCAGGATTTATGGAAGTCAGTAAAGTCATTTGTGTTATGACTTACTCAGGCTCCTCACTTCTCTTCTCTCTGACATACTCATCCATAACTGTTCCCTCAGAGTCATTATGGTCTATTATATCAATGTAGCTGCCATACACACAATTGTGCATTTAGCCCCTGTATGTAAATTTTTTGCTGCCAAGTAGTTTCAGAGACCACTTATCCAGTTGGTAAGACTCTTATTAGCAGCAACAATAGGGAGTCCGAGGACTGAGGGGGCATAGGGAGAAAGGAAGGCCAGAGCCCACTGGTAACTGGCCTTGCTTAGCTCAGTTTGGAGTAGCATAAACAGCACATCGTGGACTTACCTGAACAGTGAGTCGATCAGTACATAGCATACTACTGTTGAGGTCCAATATTCCCAAACTAAAAACTAGACTCAGAAAATATTAAAACACCATTTTGCATTTGTTGCTTTTTTTCCTCAGAGTCCGTGGGATGTTAGGAAAATAAGTCTTGTTTCTGTTATCTGCCGCCTGTGTTTCATTTGTTTCCTTTGATACTCTGGTGCACAGGGGTGTCAGTCACTTTGAATGAGAACTGCATTTACTTTTAAAAATGAACACAAATAATCAAATTAAGGCATCACGGGTCCTTGGGAAGAGTGCTGGATTTGGAGCCACACAGCCCCTAGGCTCAAATCTGAGCCCTGTGTGACCTTGAACAAATTCCTTTAACTCTGAGTCTCCATAAACCTCATCTATAAAATAGGGAGGGGATTGAATTAGATGACATCTAAGGTCTCTTCCATCTCTAAATCTATGATCCTGTTATCTCTCGTGACAACATGCCTGAATATCAGTTAAACAAAAGCACTGTTAACCGCAGTGGTACGTTTAAAAATCGAGCTCATTTAATATAAGAAGGTGAATTTCACTGTCTACCTGTAAAGAAGAAATTCAGTTATCCCTTCCACAATCTAGAAAATCTGTGTAAAATTTTTTGGCCTTCCTTTCATTCCAGAGAAGAAGTATTATTTTTTCTTTTTCTTTTACGGGGTATTTACAGTACCTTATTGTAAAATTTGGGTTAGGTATTTGGTCATAGGATCTTTGTCATCTGTTGACCTTTGCATGTTGTCTGTAGCTTTTGCAACACTCCCCAAAAATTCCCATTTAATTTCTTATGTTGATCCCTGATATATTGAGACCTTGATGAGAAAGGTCGTATTGTAGAAGGGATAACTGTAGACCAGAGTGAAATGCCCATGATACCAAGAGTTGAGTGATTTGACTTCTAGTCTTGTTAATGACTCATAGGAGGGGGACTGGGGTAGGGAGTAGTTTTCTTTAAGATTTTCTTTCCCATCCATACGTCCTAGCACCCCTACTGTCTGGCTCTGAGATTCTACTCTTCAATCATCTTTCACACAATGTATTCTAGAGAACAGTCCTATTTATACTTAAGTTGTTAGGGAATAAGAAAAAATAAGGCGCTAAAGAAATTAACAGGTGAATTGTTGACTGTACTGAGAAACTTATGCTTCTTTTTATTTTTGAGGCAATCTGGGTTGCGACTTGTCCAAGATCACAGAGCTATTAAGTGTGTGAGG